GCAAGGAGATACCCAATTATGGAAGAATTTGTCGTTTTTGAAATTAAAAAAAAACAAAGACAGCCAATTTAAAAATGTTTTTCAAACGTGCATTTGTTTTTCCATTTGTATTACCTACTTCATTGTCTTATAAAGATGGATGGGCTAAAAATGGCCATCGATGACAATGGCATTGAGGAGTGAAGATTACCATACTAGCAGTTACAGAGGACAGAAATGATGTGACGCTACTGGCCCCATGCAGTCTCTGTTCCTGGTTTTTATACCCAGAATGGGCAAGTATTCTGGATCCTAATGAATCCAGCCCTTAATGCTTTCCTACAGTTTTCTCTAGGATCTTCATATACTGTTTCACTGTCCTATGGGGACCTGCAGGGACCCAACGGCTATATCACCTACACACATACTATATTCTTTTATATCACAATGGTAGTATCAGTAGCAGCGTCAGCAAAAGCCAGATGATTTGACTCTTCTAGAACATTATATTCTATTCTGCAGAAGTAACTGGACAAGATTAGAGAAAAAGTCTTAGAAATAATGCGGTCAGTTGACGTTTTGCTTCGGTGCTGTCATCAGGATATTGAGTCCCCTTGACACTAGGGATAGGGTGGAAGAGAAGCCCCTTGTGAAGTGAAATGCCATTGTTTGAGGGCTTCCTTTATAATTCGCTATATCGTATGACACTCTGTGCAGTAGCATTGTCACCATATTTATAAATTCAAACACAGAGGCCCGGAGACATTATGCAACTTGCCAACATTTGGGCAGTTCTGTACAATGGAGAGAGGCTTTTAACTCAAGTTTTTCAGACTCCAAACCTATGTTTTATTCTACTATCTTTTATGACCTGAGAAAATTATGAAAAAAATGATAGATAGCTTCAGAGGTTGTACTTACTATAGTCATCAATGATAGTTTTCCAAGCTCAGTGATCGTGTGGTTTCAGTGTGAGGGGCGGGCCCTATCAATTACAGCTGAGTGTGGTTTGCACAGGGGTCAAGGTTATTAATAGTGTCCTCAATGAAGAGCATGAATTGAATTCTACCCAATCTAATGTGACTCAATTCAATTCAAGCTAAAATTACTTATTTTGAGCACCAATTACAGAGTCAATCATCTTGGGGGTCTCTGGGCAGAAAAGAAGACAGAAAAGAAGTACAGGTCTGGGCTTTATCCTTCAGAATCTCATAGTCTAGCCAGTCATACAAGTAACGACTGTGGACCAATTAACAGCCACCTTCATGTTCCTGTGAATTAATGATTGCAACAAATCACATATTTTGAATCATATCTCAGGTAGTGGATGCAAGGTATTGATACTTTCTAGCTGTATGACTGTGGAGCATTCTCTCATGGATAAGATGGGGATTAAAAAATTCATTAAGAGAGTTTTGTTTTGTTTTGTTTTTGGTTTTGTTTTTTTGAGGATCAAAAGAAATGCTACTTTGGAAGTCCATTTTGATTACACATAGCCACGGAGCTTGGGTTCTGTTGGAGGATTAAAGTAAATGTGGTGGTCTCATTCCCTCTCAGGTAATTAATTCCATCGATAAATATAGGAAGAGGCTGAGATACTTCGGAGAATAAAAGGAACCAAGACCTTGATTCCTGACGTTCCGAGGCGGAGAGTATGTGGGACGGGATTGGTTGTGTATAATTCATAGGTCCTCGGAAAGGAGAAGTAGAATCTGGCAAAGTGTGTAGATGGTTAGAGAAATACACCTAGTTACCTTGGCAGTAGAAACTGAAAGAATTCTGCAAGACGGAGCTGAGGCAGCTTGGGGCCGATGCTCTCTGATCTTGTGCATCATAAAAAGAAGGGATGTTCTCCATCACCTTGAGGAGCCATAAGGACTTGGATTATTCAGGGCTTTATGCACTTCATCTGTCAGCAGAAAGAAGTGGCAGGAAAGGAAACTCCAGGACTAGAAACTCAGGGGGAGTTGCATTTTATGTATTTTTTATTTTGTTGTTATTATTTTTTCCATTGGGTGTCAGGCTCCATTAGCAAGGACCTCAGTAGACGCATGGCTCCACCATTGGCTATGCAGCCAGCATGAGGCTTTGCCTCGAGCGTCAGCGATCTGCCTACTCACTAGTCCAGAGCATCAACCAAGCAGATGACATCTTTGTCCTGGCCACATGTTGATCTCTCTGAGACCCACAGTATTATTGGGGTAAGCCACACTGTGAAAAGTTTGGGACTTTTACTAGAAAACAGGCCGTGAATTAGAAAAATCACAATTTTTAGTATTAAGGTGCACTGGACTTTATTTGCCAGTGAAATCTGAAGTATACTGGAGACTTAGTAAAAACTCCCTCACGCTGACTGGATAATTTTAGGAACTACTGTTATTCTGAACCCAGATGGAAGACGTTCCTGGAGGTGCTTGCCTCAGGCAGCAAAAACAATCCTGAGCAGTGGCAATCTCGTCTTTGGTGTAAGAGAGCTTGGTGGATGCCAGATTTTCTTCACAATTGTTTATGGAAAACACTGCAGTAAGAAATGAGCAACACTGTGTATTTATATTTGAAGGCCTCATGGCACAGGAGTATGATCAACTTGGCATGGTGCTGGAGGGCCTTGAAAGTACACTTAAACTACACAACATTGGGTGTCTTGAAACCTAATTCCTGAGTAACCCCTCTCAGGATGGGGAAATTGATCAGAAGTGTTCCTTCCGGCATTGGCCACGGAGCTACAGGAAGTGGAGGAATGAGTCACTGTATTTGTCTGTTTACCCTCTGTATACACTGGGCTTTGAGTGAAGCATTTCCCATTGATAAATTTGCCCTGATTCTATTTCTTGGACCCAGTGTAGTGGGTCACCTGTGCACCAAGCTCTAGCCAATAGATACTGAGGGGTCACATATGCTGATGAGCTGTTCTCTGTAGTCAGGCTGCAATCAAGTTCCCTAGATCCTTGTTCCCTCTCTCCTCACTCCCTCTCCCTCTCTCCTTCTGTCTCTCTCTTTCCTTCTCTTTTTCTCCTGATCAGTCTTCTCTCCTCCTATCTCTGTTTGGTCCCTAACTCCCCATTTTTGTTATCTCTGTTGGGGGTCTCTCTTCTGCCCCTCATAGGATTTGGTTATTTGGTTTTCTCCGTGTGATACTAAGATTTCCCCATCACAAGTTTTATCTCCTCTCCTTACTCTTCCATCTCAGAAAGGCTCCAAGAGGGTAAGCTGTCCTGAGGCTGGTGCTGGGATCCAAGGCCTGACTTGGGCTGAAAGCTCAGGCAGATTTACCAATATACCATGAGGGGGTGGGACGCACGGTATGAAGCGCAATGCAAAAATATCCCTTGAAGGTAAAGTTCCCCCACTTTTTCACGGTTGTTAATGGGGGGAGCGGGGGGGGCTGTTTCCTTCCTCTTCATGAAAATGAGTTTCTCATGGAAGAATTGGGGCCTTAGCCATCAGAACAGCCCCCACCCCCCACCCTCCATTCCATCCGGGAAATTTACGCGCAAACTCAAGCACAGACAGGATGAGTGGATGTGTGTTCATCTGAGGTTCCCAGGATGCTGTACGAAAAGTATCACTGCCTTCCTTTGATAGAGGAGCCTGAGTCCAGAAAGCTCAGTGAGCGCATTGGTGGTGGCCAGTCGTGGAGTCCTATGTGCCTGTTACTGTGACCTTTTCTTAAGTCTCCCAGCTTTGGGCTGTTGTGATGGTATAGAATGGAAAAAATGAGTAGTGAAGAGCTGGGATCATTAAGGGGATTTTCAACCTTTTAAATGGAAATATACCCAACTAATAAAGGTATCCTCAAAAAATATCAGTTCCTTTCTGTGAAACTTATAAAATATATATTTTTTCACACCTGCTGAGTGCCAGGCTTAGGGCTAAGGGGTGCCCTTACAGATTTTACATTCTTATGAGAGGAAATTGACAGTAAATAAGTATAAAATTGGTAAAGAATCATGAGGACAAGGAGTAATACGTGCTTTGAAGAATAACCTAGGATGGTGTGGTAGGGAGTCTGCAAGAAGGGGGTCAATTTACTGTAGGAGAGTGGATAGAGTAGATCTCTCTTAAAACATGACAATTAAGTCCAAACCTAAAGAAAATGATCCAGTTTAAATCATGCTAATCCAGGATGTTTTTTCTTCTGGCGGGATACCTACCACATAGAGCACAATCATGGGTTAAGATCCAGTTCCTTGGTGTAAGCTGACTGCATCTGGAGGACAGCATGTGGTAAATGGATCTCGGTGTCCCCATTCTAAAACGAGAGACTGTAAGGTGGCTCTCTTACCTACTTTATAGGAGGGCTCTTAGATGGAATGTGATAATGGTAATTAAAACTATTTGCATATTTTGGGGCGCCTGGGTGGCTCAGTCGGTTAAGCTCCCATCTCTTGATTTCGGCTCAGGTCATGATCTCACACAGTTTGTGGGATTGAGCTGCAGGTCAGGCTCTGCCCTGACCGCGTGGAGCCTGCTTGGGATTCTCATTCTCTCTCTCTCTCTCTCTCTCTCTCTCTCTCTCTTTCTGCTCTTTCCCTGCTTGCATGTATTCTTGCTCTCTTTCTTTCTCTCTCTCTCAAAATAAATAAATAAACAAAATTAAAAAGAAAACTATTTGCATATTTAATGAATTATACCAATGCTACTTATCACAGAGCATAGGGAGAATACATTTGAGTACTGACTGCATGCAAAGGATCTGTATGTCTTAGGGACTTTACACACATTATGTTCCATAATCCTTACATCCACTCGACGGTACTCGATGGTACCCCATGAAAACTGCTCACACAAGGAAGAACTGGGAAAGCTGGAGATCCAGCTCAAAGCTTTGTGTTAACTCCTATCTCCCTTTTCCCCATGTCGTCTAATTCACAGATTACATCAACTCTATTGGCAACAACTGGGTTCTAGAGTAAAATCCTAGACTCAAAACAATAAAGGTGCGTTTCATCCTGTTAAGAGGAATCAACACAGCACAATGCCGATGCCTGAGCAGTGGGCAGGCCAAGAGGGGCCTCGGGAATGCAAGACTGAAGAAGTCTGATGGGAGCGCGGTGCCACAGCCATCAGAGGAGGACAGAGGTGTTCTGCCTGGGATACTGTCAGAGGAACAGGTGCAGGTTGCATGTCCCTGTACCTCTCAGCACCGACAAGGGGGTGCTCCATCACCTGTAAATGAGAGTCCCCAGAAGGATTTCTCCCTGCCCTCTTTATAGTTTCAAACTAGAATTTGTATGAAGATGCCCAAACTGTGTGAAGGTGGTCAGACATAGTTAATCACACAGACTGATAGACAGAGTAGGACTAGGTCTCACTCAGCTTCTCTTTACTAATACCGGTAAGCTCCCCAAACTCTTGAGGGTGGGCTGCTCGTTTCCTTTCTGCCTGGTCAAGACGGTTCCTTTGTTCTTGGTGCATACAGTCTGGTCTGCAGCGGAGCATGGGCTTCTGACTTCAGGAACTTAATTGGGTCTTAAGGTCGCTTCAGCATTTGCTCACAGCATAGTTGCTAAGTCCCGAGTGCATGAGTTGACGTCTGAGCCTTGCTCTGCACGTTGCTTCCTGAGCCTGTGAAAGCAGCAGTTCTCTCTTTGTCTAAGCCAAAGTCTGCATTTTGTCTGCAGGATCAGTCATTTTGTGACCTGGAGCAGTAGGAGGGACATTTTAAACCTTTCTTGGGAGGGAAGCGTCGCTTTAGGTTTAGAATGTGAACATGTGGACCCCAGGATACTTCCTCCGTAGCATCGTTACACATCAACCGAGCAGCGGCAGCCCAAGAATGGTTTGAGGGTGTTATTGTTTATCCCTTCATGCCCTGTGTCATGTGGGCTCCATTAGCAGCCGTTGGAACACCCCCAAACCATGACTCCATCCTGTGGGTCCCTGGCCACTGTCAGGCCAGATGCAACTGCATTATCTAAGTCTGATGCAGTACAGATGCAAACCAGGCAGCTGTGAGCTGTCAAACTCCAGCTGACGGGCTTTTGTCCTGCTTGGGTGCAGAAGTTACAAATGAAAAAGAATGAGGGCAGAGGCTGTGTAACCACAACTCTGCATTTCTGTAGGGTGACCTCAGCCTTGGGTGTGAAGGCTGGACTTTGCCCATACAGGTTCAGGACCAAGAATGCTAAGGGGACAGAGGGGCCCTCAAGAAGCAGCCTGGAAAAATACCTGAGCTGCAAAAAGCACTTCATCCTGACGCCTTGTAGCCAACAGACCAATTTAGGAGAAGAATTGGCTGTTCCACTTGTCCCTTCCCTACACCAGCAAAGGCCATGGAATCAACCAGACTCCCTGAGACTGTGCCGGCATCCTCTTCATGGTTGACCATGTTCCTCGCTAACCTCGAACTTACTCCCCCCCCCAACTTTGTATGCAAAATCCAGCTACCATAAGCTGTAAATATGATGACCCATCTTAGGAACATGAGGCTTTGTTTCATAATGAAAAGTCAATGTACTCTCGGCTCACTCTGTTCGTGGTCAACGGGGCCTTGGTTCATTTGTGGTACAAATATACACCTTTGAACTATTGTAAGATCCTTGCATACGGATGAGGGACTGGATTGATTCTTTTTTCACTATTTTCATCAAGTATAAATAATAAGTTCTGTTAACTAGAACCTTCTCCTTCCAGACCTGGTATGCTCTCATTTCACCAGAAAAAGCAAACATCTGAAAGATTTTTAATGACTTTATCCTTTGAATCTCTAGCCGCAGAGAGGAAATGGAGAATAAATACATCATGCTGATTGCTTTAGAGTATGGTTAGCTTGTCTAGAACTGCATTTAATTTGATTGTTAGCTGTACCTCCATATCACTCTGAGTCAGCAAGCACATTTCCAAAATGATGTATGCTCTAATTTTTTTTTTCAGCTTTAGAATTCAGCTCTTGCTTCTTTGTCCTTCGCCTTGATTAGAAAGGTGATACGAGCTGGTGGGAAGAACATCAATTTTGGAATCATCAGACTGACTTCAAATCTCAGCTCCTCGAGTTACCATAGAAGGCTAGGTTATTTATACTTAGCCTATTTCCTTTACTATGAAATAGCCATACATACTCCCTTCTGTTTTGTGATGATTATCAAAGGAGACACAATATTAAAGTGCCAACCGCAAGGACATGATAGGGAGTCTTTGTTAGTTCACTGGCTCTCTTCTTCCAAAGCGCCTCCTAGTGGAGATATCCCCCTGTTGTTTGGAAATGCCTATCATTTTGCTATTTTTAAAAACACAGCCTTTCACTATTCTTGCTCACGTCTTTTTTGTTTTTTAATGTTTATTTATTTTTGGAAGAGAGAGAGAGAGAGAGAGAGAGAGATCCCTTGAGCGTGCACCTGAGTGTAGGAGGGGAAGGGAGAGGGAAAGGGGGAGGGGCGGAGAGAGGGAGACAGGATCTAAAACAGACTCTGTGCTATTAGCATAGAGCCCGATACGGGGCGCAAACTCATGGACCAGGAGATCATGACCTGAGCCGAAGTCTGACGCTTAACTGACTGAGCCACACAGGTGCCACCCCTGCCAGCTTTTAATCCCTTAATCCCTGCACAATTCTACGAGCCCAGTCTTCCCACTTTCAGCCACTCCCCAGCCCTAGCAGAATCTCAACTGCCACCAGCTGTGTTCCTAAGACAGAACATTGTACGTCTCTTCTTCTGCTCCAAGTTGGTTATGGCCGTATTGCCCACATGGGCAAGTTTGAAGGTTGTGATTCATTCACTCTTTTATGCACTGATTCCATACACAAATGTACATGGATCCCCGGGATGTGCACACACGCTTTGAAGGTACTCTGGAAACAGATAAATAGGGACCATCCTAAGATCACAAATCTCGTGAGAACACAGACAAGCAATGTGACTTGAGTAACATGATGCCATAAATACTATTCTAGAGAGGTGGTAGTCTCTCCCCAACTGTAAATCTTCACGGTTAGAAATTTGATTTAGCTTGATTTCACTTCTATATCTTTTGCCTCAATGGTGAGAATCTTGGATTAATTAAAAGGGTCACTCTGAGTTGCTGACAAGCAATTACTTGGTTAGGACATTTAGCACATTATCCAATTATTGGATTTCTTGATGTAATGGGAATGCCCACAGACAGGGGCTTTGCCTTATTCTCTCTGAATCCTGGGACAGCACAGGACATGGTCTGCTTTTCCCAGTGAATGTATGAATGGTGAATGAAACAGTACTGCCTTTAGAGACGACACTGAATTAAATCTTAACTTTGTCAAGTGACAATTATAGGAGCCATAAATGAGACTTCATGTTCCCGAGACGTGGTTTCCTCAGGTATAAAGCGAAGCTAATAAAAACTGTCATCAAGGATTATTGCATTAATTAAAATACCATAGGGGCACCTGGGCGACTCAGTTGGTTAGGCATCCGACCGAGGCTCAGGTCCTGATCTCACAGTTCGTGAGTTTGAGCCCCGCATCAGGCTCTGGGTGGACAGCTCAGAGCCTGGAGCCTGCTTCGGATTCTGTGTCTCCCCCTCTCTCGGCTCCTACCCCGCTCGCACTCTCTGTCTCTCTCTCTCAAAACTAAATAAACATTTAAAAAATAATAACATAAATGGGGCGCCTGGGTGGCGCAGTCGGTTAAGCGTCCGACTTCAGCCAGGTCACGATCTCGCGGTCCGGGAGTTCGAGCCCCGCGTCGGGCTCTGCGCTGATGGCTCAGAGCCTGGAGCCTGTTTCCGATTCTGTGTCTCCCTCTCTCTCTGCCCCTCCCCCATTCATGCTCTGTCTCTCTCTGTCCCAAAAATAAAATAAATAAACGTTGAAAAAAAAAATTAAAAAAAATAAAAAATAATAACATAAATGAAGCACACAATTTAGGGGTTAGCACACAGTAGGTGCTTAGAACTTGTCAGTTCCCTCCTCCCTCTACCTTCCCTTACGAAAATGCACTGATGTAACACAGATAAGGTAGTTCTCACGATGCCTCGCACCTAAGAAGAAGAATATTCGTCATCACTTTGGTCTGCCCACCATGCATAGCCCAGATGCTGTTGTAGAGCTTTGCTCTTGTATGGCAGCCAGAGAACCAACGCAGGTCAATTATCCCATGATCTAGACAGTATTCAAACACATTTCTCCTAGAACGCTGCATACCTGCGACCTCATTACTCAAGAACCAAAAATCAGCAGGTGCATTCATTTGAATAGAATACAGACCTTTGATATAATTGCATACAGAGTTGTTTATTTAAATATCCATGAGGGCTGAATCGGCCGCCTGCATGAACGTTTCCGTCAGCTTTTACTTTCCCCTTTAAGATAGCCAGCGTCGTTCTCTCTCAACCCAGATACACAGATCGTTTGTACATTTGTTCTGCTTTTTTACTGAAATGCTAACTGCCTCGGGCTTTCCAAAAAGTTGCAATTCCCAAGCACTTCAAATTCCTTTCTGTGTAGACAGGAGGAAATGACTAGTTTCCCACAGTATGGAATTGTGCTACATACTTACAGAGTTTAGAAATTTTCTTTCAAGTCACAGGGCATTATGTAGATACAGGAGGTGCCTGAGAAGATGACAGACTGGATACTGAGGCCACTGGTCCTGTTTCCTGTTGGCGATGTAATTCAACCTTTCTACACCACAGGCACTGGTAACAAGGAGCTTGGGCATTTTTTTTTTTTTTTTTTTAGTGGACGGCTTTCCTGCAATTAAAAGCATATGTATGACGTTGGGAACCAGGAAATACATAGTTTGGTAACTTCTATTTTTCTTTATGGTTCTTTCCTCTAAGATTCAAATATTAAAGCCATAAATTCTCAAGTGGAGACAGGAGGCGCTTTGTGGCTGGAAGCAAACGGACCATCTCGTGGCTGGAACCGGGCTCGTCCGATGCTCAGGCCATCACACTGTTCAGCCTCATGTGTTGTATGCACCGTTGAGACAGCAGTCAGGCAAAGCCAGGCACTAGGAGATAACACTTGGGAGCTGTATCAGCCCCAGTATCCATTCTGGATGGCTTAGAGCACACGCTTTCTTTTCTTTTCTAAATTCATTCAGTTCAGAGGTACAGAGTTCCTATCTGGCAGGTACTACTGACCAGCAAGCACTGGTTAGGACAAACCAGTGAAGAAACAAAACAAACCATGCGATTCTCCCAAAGAGTCTGATGAGAATCGGAGAGACGACATCTCTTTATTTCACTCATTCTACTTGTAACTGCAACCGCTCTGTCTTCAAAGCTGCATTAGAGGCTTGGGGAGCCTGGGGGCTCAGTCAGTTAAATGTCCAACTTCGGCTCAGGTCATGATCTCACGGTTTGTGGGTTTGAGCCCCAGGCTGGGCTGTGTCCTGACAGTTCAGAGTCTGGAGCCTGCTTTGGATTCTCTCTCTCTCTCTCTCTCTCTCTCTCTCTCTCTCTCTGCCCCTACCCACTCCCCCCTGAAAAATCAATGAACATTAAAAAAATTATTAAAAAATTATAAAAAAAAAGTTGAGTGACTGTTTTCTGAATTTTCTCATGTCATATAACTAGTATGTTCTAGATTCAGAGGAGAGAAATTAATTCATTTCATGAACAGATGCCTTAAGGAATGAAGGAGAAATTCTCAGAAAAATCCCACTGAGAAAGGCAGCACAAGACCCTAGGCAGAGAAACCACCACAGAGATTCCATTCTGTTTTTTTAGGCCTCTGATCTTAGTCAGAGACAAGCAAGCATCACCAGACTTTGAAGAGAGTATCTACCATGAAATAAAGAAACCAACCAGAAAAAAAAAAAAAAATAGTAGTTTGGAAAAGACTGAATCTATAAATTCCTCGCAGGACAAAAGATGAGATTAACATCTGCAGAGAGAAAAGTGGGGGGAAATGCAGTCATAAAACAACGATGTGTTTCTCTAAAAAGTTGTTTTTAGATAATTAAATAAAGCTTTGGAAATTGAAAGCATGATAGCATAAGGAAGAATCTCAAAAGGATTAGATAATAAAACAAGAAAGTGACAAGCAGTTAGAGCAAAAACGTCAAAAGGATAGAAGGTAGAGGTGAGAAAAAGTACAAGGTGAGTGCAAACGGGCCCCCATCTGAATAGCAGGATTTCCAGAAAGACAGATCAACAGAGGAGAGGAGATCGATCGTCCAAGGAAAAAAACCAGGAAATGATAAGAACCGGTAAGAATTTTCACTTTTTTAAAAATGTTCGTTTATTTTGAGAGAGAGAGAGAGACAGAGAGAGAGACAGAGAGAGTGAGTGCAGGGGAGGGGCAGAGAAAGAGGGAGACAGAGAATGCCAAACAGTATCCTTGCTTTCAGCTCAGAGCCCCACATAGGGCTCGATCCCATGAACTGTGAGATCATGACCTGAGCTGAAACCAAGAGTTGGATGCCCAACCAACCGAGCCACCCAGAGGCCCCAATAAAAATGTTCATCTTCATAGTCCCCATCTTACACCAAGCATAACAGATGAAATTAGACCCAATGACCTTCCCCAATGAATGCTATCTGAGGAGATATCAGAGCTGATGCCAAAGATAAGGGCAGCTTCCATTTAAGGAAAAAAAAAAAAAAAAAAGAAGGTTTCCAAAATGGTACAAGCATCACAATTGCATTGTTTCTTCCTCAGTAATACTGGAAGTTAAAGTCAAGAGTAACTTGAATTTAAAAAAGCAATGTCCAGCCTCCAATTTTCTATCCAAGAAAACTATCAGTTAAGTGTTAGCATAAAGTCACCCTCAGAAATCAGGGGTTTTTTTGTTTTTTTTTTTTTTCAAAAATGTTACTTGTTACACCTTAGGAAGCTACTAGAGTATGAATTTAAATCCAAGTATAAGAATTAAGACATTTTAAAAGGTAGGGATATCGACATCTTACTTTAGAGCTGCAAAATCAATTAAGAGCTAAAATTGGGTGTCTGGGAGCTAGGAATAAAAATACTTTTTTCTAATAAGCTTTGTAGAACTGCTGAGCAATTCCAATTACGTGCAAGCATAATTTTGATAAAAATAAAACTAATTTAAAAGCATTACCCAGGCTAATATAACGAAGCCATCTTGCACATGGCACAGCGTCTATACTTTCACTTTTCTACCTCATTAGCCAACAGTGGGTCCTTGCTAAGTTTGAGTTTCCCAACTCAATAAACGAGAGCACTGGCCCAGGTTAGACCACTTCCAAAGACTCTAAAATGTTATCTGTCGGCTTAATATTTACTAAGACTTCAGTGTAGTCATACGGACGCTGTTTTTGAATATTAAATTTTTTGTCTCTGCTTTTAACCTTTTATTATAAGCATGACATTCGAGCAAGCAGGATCTAAAATGCACCCGCAAGTTGTTCTACTCTTAGAAAAACACGGATGAAATGGAGCGCTAGAGGCATAGCTCCCCTCTTCCTTCATTCCAAAAAGGTCAGTACCCCCACCCCCTCCTCCCTCTCCTGGAGAGAATGTCTTTGACTTTTTAGAGAGGGTGAGGCCAGTGGGTGAGCACCAAGAGAATCCTCTCCAGGGTTAGGAACTGGATGCCAGTAGAGAAACATGGCAATTTGACTTACACAAATTCACTTCACAGTGCCGGGTCCACAGTAGACTTTTAATAAGTGCTAGTTTATAGGATCATAAAACATGGCATGTATTTTGGAGCAATTGAGAAGAAAATAATCTTCCAGAACACTGGCAGCCATCCTCTTGCTCCCCACGTGACAAAGAGTTGCTCCTGGAAAGAAGCATGTGCTCCCCACTTAGCATCTTGGTAGGGGCTGGTGCCCTGGTGAATGCCTCTGGTTTGCTCTTTTCTCAAACCCTTCACGTCTCTGAACTGGTGCTTTGTGCTTGCGAGTAATCAAAGGAGAATTAAAATCGATATCGGGGATGATGGTTGGTGGGAGTTGGAAACAGGAGAGCTAGGGTTTGGATAGTTTATATGATCCCTCCTTTCTATCGTACACACACTGAACTTAATTAATTTCAAGTTGAAACTGATTTATTTATGTTCACATCTTACAGAACATTCTAGTGAAGTTTCCTTGATTTAGGCCAATTTCTAAGTGCTTTTCTCCTTTTTATTTTAAAAGAAACTTGAGACTCTGTTCCCTATTAAAGAGGAAGAAAGCATCATTGATGTCCAGCTTTCCTCTAGCTACTCTGAATTTGAGCAGATTGTATGACTCATCTTTCCTAGAAATACAACAATGAGATCATCATGTCTGTTCCTTCCCACTCTAAATACAGTTGATTTTGTTTCCTCTATGTTCAGGGATATATATGCATATTTTCTCCCTCCTTCCTTCCCTTCGCCCTCCCTCCCTTCCTTCCCTTCTCCCTCCCTCCCTTCCTTCCTTCCTTCCTTCCTTCCTTCCTTCCTTCCTTCCTTCCTTCCTTCTCTTCTGAAAAGCCCTTTGCTTGTTAATACACAAGAGTTTAATCATATAATTGGAACAGCAAAGAGGAAAATGAGCAGAAGTTAATATACTTTTTTTTTTCAGACAGCTCAATCCCTGTCTCCAAAGCTAAAATTGTATAAATTATGTAAAGAGATATAAATGTATTTTAAAAAATTTTTAAAGTTTATTTATTTTGAGAGAACTAGCAGGGAAGGCACAGAGAGAGAGGGAAACAGAGAATACCAAGCAGTCTCCTCACTGTCAGTGCAGAAATCGATGTGGGGCTCAAAACCACGAACCCGTGAGATCGTAACCTGAGCTGAAATCAAGAGTTGGACACTTACCCGACTGAGCCACCCAGGCACCCCATTGTTTGTTTTTTTTTTTTTTTTAATACCTCCTATAGTAGAAAACTCACTGCTTCTAGACAGAGGTAGTCATTCTTTTTTTTATTATTATTTATTTAATTTTTTAAATTTTATTTTAGAGATAGAGGGAGAGAAAGAGAGTGTGAGTAGGGGAGAGGGGCAGAGGGAAAGAAAAAGAGAATCTTAAGTGGTCTCCACATTCAGCACAGAACCTGATGTGGGGCTCAATCACATGACCCTGGGATCATGACCTGAGTAGAAATCAAGACTCCATCACTCAAACTACTGAGCCACCCAGGTGCCCCAGAGATAGTCAATTCTGCTTTTAGCCATTTCCTTAGATCATTCTTACTTACCTGGACCTAAAATCCGATGACCCATAACCTTTACCTGTTAGTGGTGGTCCTGACTTAGAGAACCAAAAGGGATATGCTAGCTAGGGATCCTGTCTAGCTGATATCCCTTCGGATATTTGTGGACAACGATCATATCACATGATCTGTTCTACTTCAAGTGTAGAATCCATAGAGTATAGTTTACTTCATTTTAGACATTTAGCTGTGATCCTAGATTAACAATTTGGCCTGAATTAACCAGAAAAGTCTTCAAATACCTGGTTTTACATGTCTTTAAATTGCCGTTTCACCAAATTGACAAGTTGCTACCGTAAAATAGGCAAAATGTCTGGGTAAATACCTTTTTCCTGAATCACATAGATAATTTGGCATTATTGTTGTGCAAACAGGATCTGCACCATGTTTATTAAAAAAACGTGAGGATTGCTATTTCTTTAATTTCTTACTGTATTCCTGAAAGATGGTGTCTAAGTCAAATTGCTGCATCAATCCTCGTGCAATTCCGTTTTAAGATTCTCATTTATTCATTTTTATTGCTTGTGTACAAACCAAATTTAACAAAATGCATGACACTTT